TTTTTGTTTTTTTTTGCGGGGTGCCGCTGCAGCCGACCGGTCGGCTGGTCGGCAGCCTACCAGTCAACGGCCGCCGACCAGCCTACCAGTCAACGGCCGCCGACCGTCGGGGTATGTAACACTGCCCTATGGACAAAAAAAACCAGCAACCCGCTGCCCGTGGGGTGGACCAGTAAGCTTTTTGCAAATTGTCGAGTTCACTGACTAGCAATTTTTTCCATGCCGACACTGGCGAGAATAATTGATGGAAAATACTAAAAATACTAAAATAGGAAAACAATCAGCAACATGGCAGCTTTTCAGAAAATGTCGAGGGCACTGGGGTCTGGTCCCACCTGTGTTGTTGAGAAAACTCAACGCGGAGTTTTCTACGACGAGCGACAACGTTCGACAGGATGTGGCCGTCGACAGGGCTGCGATCCCACGGTTGGAAGTATTTCGAAATGTTGATGTCCTACCGGGTGATTTGAATGAATTTTTTTTTGTATAAGGACTTCGAATGGACTCCCACAATGGAGGGAAGGCAGCATGGGCAAGCGCCACGGAGTTGAGAAAGCTACCCTCCACGGTCGAGGGTGGGTTTCTCAACATGGTCGATGAGAAATTTTGCGATTTTTGGGATTTTTAGTCGCCGTCTGCTGTTCCCCGTTTCTCGTATACTGTGCCAGGCACTTCGTCAGTGCAATGAAAGCCGTAACTGTCATGCGTGGGCTCTATAAGGCCTCGCTCCGTTGCTCACCACATGCACAAACAAAAGAAAAAAGAAAGTCGATGTATGTTTCCGTGTTCTTGCCTATATTTGGACCCACTTCGACGTCCTCGTGTTTCCACATCATGGGGCCTCGCTGCACTACTCTCGACATGCACAAAAGACAAAAATCATGGCAGTGCATCTTTCCATATTCTAGGCGAAGATTCACTCTCATTTTGCACATTTCGAGAGTAGTGCAGCGAGGCCCATATGGTACGTCAAGATACGCAGAATCCTCGACAGAAACCACTATTTTCGCATCATTTTCTTAAAATGAACAAAAACTGCTACGAATAAATCTGAAATGCATTTTTCGGATTTAAACCTCGATAGAACCACTATTTTCGCGTCATTTTCTTAAAATGAATAAAAACTGCTACGAATAAATCTGAAATGCATTTTTCGGATTTAAAAAATGCGGTAAATGGTGTCACACCGTTGAGGTTTCTCAACTCAACGGCCGTAGGTGGGACCAGACCCCTGGGGCGAGGTCCCACTTGCATGGATTAAGCGATATATTGGCCATTGATCTTTGTTTTTTCCTACGGCCAATACGTCTTAACCCTGAGCTAGAGGGACCTTGCCCTTGACTGTGGTAATTTTTCATGTGCAGGGAAATTGATTGATTGAAAAAAGAAAAAAAAAATTCAGAGCCGTAGATTGGGTGCCGATCTGTTCAAAAATATATTTCCAAAATGAAACAAAAAGCTCCTGGCTGGAAAAGAAATTGCCGGTCGGCGACCGAGTAAAATGGCCACATAGTTCTCGTTCAGTGCCCCAGGCTGGGAAAGAAATTGGCGGGCACCGGGCGGGTGAATTGCCCACGGGGCAGTGTTGGTTTAACAGCCATGTCGCAACCAAATCGCTGGGAAAGGTAATGCGGTTTAAGCAATTGAAATTTGAAACATAAAATTATAAAATGGAAAGGAAAGTCGGGAAGCAACGTTTGCATTTTTGGCTCCTACCTGCTACTGGTAGGCCAAAACATTTTCCCGTTCCAGGGCCCATCCTGGCCAAACAGAGAGAGTCCGATTTAAGCCGCCACTCGCCCCGACAGCCAAAAACCCTCGGCCCTGTGAGTTAGGGCCGGGTTCTACAAAGGGACGGCGACCGTTTGTCATCGGTGGGTCCAATCCCGCCATTCGAAAGCCGCAACTTCGGCGATTTTTCGTGCTCAGAAGAATTCTTCAAAAATTCTGAAAATTTGAGGGGCTGTAGATTAGGTCGTGATCTTTCAAGGAAAAATATCTGAATAAATAAACAAAATCATTTCGACCATGAAACCGATTCGGCGCATTTCCAACCTTTTTTTACGCAAATTCCATTTTAGCCATTCACCCGGTTTTCCACTCTATGCTACCGGTACCCTTGTGAAACGGCGCTACAGCTCCCCCAAGGTTTTTGACGTCAGGAGGGGTGGCAGTATAAATGAGACGCTGGACCCACCCAGTTTTCAGCAGGGGCTGCTACCCACTAATAGAACGGAGCCGGTTTCCAGCAGGTGATGCTCGTATCACCTCCCAATGCCGTCCTCGAGACGTTAAACCAAAAAAAGAAAAAGAATAACAACAACAGCAGGAAAAAAATAAATAAATACAATGACTGATAATTGCAGGCATATTCAAACTATCGCTTTCCCGAGTGTATCAGATGTGAAATAATAGGCCAGGTTCACCGAAAAAGGTATGTGTGATCAAAAAAAAAAAAAAAAAAAAAAAAGGAAACCCGGCAAGAACAGTTGTCAAAATCAACCAAATTTTCTCTCGAGTGTACCGGAAGGACAAAAGCAGGCCAGGTTCACCCAAAACGATGTGTGTCACTGTGTGATCAATTATACCAGAACATAGGATGCCTGCAAACACAGCCTCTAAAAAAAATCGACCAAATTCTACCTTCCAGAGATAGAGGAAGGGAAGGGGGGGCCTTTTTCAAGCCTACCTACCGTCTCGACCCCGAATA